ATAAAAAATAAAAAATGAATTAAAGGAAAAAAATATGTAGGAAATGGATTTGGGTATTGGGCGGGATCAATCTAAACCCATCCCAAAGTGATCCCGTCCAAGTTAGTCCCAAAACACATAGGTTGTTATCCCACATCGGGGTTGGGGGTGATTTTGGGTAGGTTTATTAGTCTCCTCAGGAACCATAAGAGTTGCCGGCGGAAAAAAGAAACGCCTAAAAGTACAAGTGCTTACTTAAGAAATTCAACACCGGCAGTATTCAATTGAATAGACATAGCTAAAGCTATATGTGCCAAAAAATTGTAAAATTTGGGCTGCTGCAAAGTAGACTTGAAGTGCTAACAATCATTAGAAGACACATCTCAAAGATTTGGATCATACACTAGTTTAAATTCAATAAAAAAATTAGTACACTTTCCAGCTCCCATGCTGTGTAGGTTAGGAATTTCAGCAACTGCAGTACTTATTTAAACACACATAACTCAAGTTATATTAGAGGTGGCAAAATGGGCGGGATGAACTTGGGTTCAAAATGGAATCGAATCATATGGGTTTGGGTTTAATCTTACTCATATGTGTTTTGGGACTAACTTGGGCGGGATCACTTTGGAATGGATTTAGATTGATACCCAAATCTATTTTCTATATTTTTTCCTTTAATACTTTTTTATTTTTTTTATATAACTTTAATATTTTTATTTGTTAAATTTCTTTTGATCTTATTGTGAATTTATATTTTCCTGAATTCATTTACACTTTAAAACGATCAACAGTTACTTTAAAAGGACATAACATTTTTGGTAAGAATGAACATATCTTCTACTTGGATTAAACCAAAAATTGGATTAACAAATAAAGGAAAAGATAGATATACAGCCATATTCCAACCTTACCCATAATGTTGTCTAACACAAGGATTAGAAACAAGATTTTTTAACACCAAATTCAATCTTACTGACATTCTTAAAATTTTCAAAATTTGATACAAAAGAAATTCACATTAAATGCTGAATAAAGCTAGCACAGAAACGAAGAATTTGATTAAAAATTGATAACAGGGTTGCATATAGAAATCTATGTAGATAGTTCAACAATTAGTATAAAATCAACATAATGGGTGCCAACAGTTGTTAGTAAAGCATTGATTCTTGTAGACACCAAAATTTTATCAATTCATTTTATTTTTATTGTTATCATTATTTTTTTTAAGTTGTTTAAATGAAATCATTTTTACTTAATTGGTTTTCTTTTGTAGGAAAATGAAGAAAGGAAAAGAAAGAAAATGGAAGTGAAAAAAAAAATCAGATTTTTGGGAAAAAAAATCAGAGATGAATTTTTGGATAAATGAAATTTTTTGGGACGATATTTGGGCCCAATGGGTACCCAAGAATTTCCTAACATTTCCCATCAAATAATGGGTATAATTGGATGCATCGCATTTTAAACCCAATATCAAATTACAATTCCCATCCCGCCCAAAGTCCTTTTGAGCATGGGTAACCTATTAGAATTTGAGACAAATTGCCACCTCGAAGTTATATATACCGAATCACTACAAAATTGGTAGCATTAGAAACTAAACTCAGACTACTAAATATCTTCAGAGGAATCATTTAGCGATTCCATCAATAGGGGGCCTTAAGTTGGACCATAATTTAGTGCAGTTTTTAGTTCTTAACTATGCAGCTTCTGATTTTTTTTGCCAATTATCTGGTATTAATAGGCAACAAACCGAAGATGAAATTTTATACCATTAGAAAGGTTTTTGAATTTAGTTTTAAACGCAATTAATGGAACTCAATTTTGACTTTTCTATACCAAGTGATGCCTAATTTTCCAAAGGTGACTGTTAGTAGCAAAACTGATTTAGAACTCCCAGTGTTCTTGGTTATTAACACAAAATTCTTCCAATTTCTTGTATATATCCATATCAATTTGCACTTTGGCACTCAAATTTATATCAGACTTATAAAATAACCCCTTACTTATACATAATATTCAATTGGCTAGAAAACTTTTGGATAATTGGGGTTTGGGCATTACAGAGGCGGTGATGGTGTTGCTGCTGACTATTCTGAGCGCGGATCACCTTACATGGCCGTCTAACATCCATAACAAGGAGCCACCTAGAGTCATTTCTGACGATGGTCTCGTTTGTTTGTTCTTGCTGTTGGATATCTACTGAAAGTATGAAGCTCGTCCGTGTTGTAAATCGCTCGAGTCGTGCACCTCGGCCGAACTCATGTGGCACCAGAAATCCATTATAAAGAGGCAGCGCAGTGCATTGCTGATTGCCTCAGCGCTCATGTTATACTGGCTACTTTTTGCTGTAACATGCTGATTTTTTTTTTTTTTGTTATTTCCAATGTTAAAGGAATGTATGGAATGAGTTGTTCCCAAATCACCAAGAATCCAGTGCAGAGCTTCGTCAGAGGAATTTCTCAAAATTGAGATATTTAACAAATGTTCCCACCATTTTCTAGCTTGAGGAAATAGTACATAATTAATTTTAACAACCTCCAACTATCCTCAACAATAATTACAAATATAAGATTCAATTTTACCCTGAAACTGTGCTATTAATTTCTATTAAGTAGTAATTGTTGCACATAAAACTACTTTACCATCGCTGTTCTTTGCACCTTTAAAATGTGTAATTTGTAATAAAACAAATGCATGAATCTGCATGGCATATGTACAAATACATATGCTTATGCGTACCTCTACATGGTGATATATACTGATGATCAAAAGAGGAAGGTTGAAAAGAGGAAAGTCGTATCAGTAATTAAAAGTAGATTACCAACCTAATTGCCATATATATATATGTCAAACAAAAACACCAAGTAAAATGCTTGGCGTTTCATGACATATAAGCTGGGATCATGAACTTGAGGTCTTTATGTCTGTAAACAAATTATTGGTAATACATTAACATATCTGATAGGGTGCATTTTAGTGGGTATTTTGGGCATTATTGCACAATTAATTGACTAAATATTTTCATTTATTTGGGTGGATTCTACTGATATTTTGTTTTGATGCTAATTGCAGGAATGGATGCTGAAAAGTGCTTAAATTCAACTTTTAAAAGATTCATCGGACGTGAGGCCCGCTTGAGAAGCTGAAGAAATCTAATTGTAATAGATTTTATTTTAATATATTTTTTGGTGAGTCTGGCTGCAATTTTAAACAAGTAACAATTTTCGGCTATTGGGGATTACATTGAGTTTGTTTGGATAGAGAGAATTTAGTTTGCTTAATTTATTCTCACAAATCCCAATCACCTTTTTATTTTCCCAATCATCTTTTTATCTCACATACATCACATCACAAAAAGTGCTACAGTAAATATCTCAAATAAATCATTCAAATAAACTCTTATCCAAACAAACTCAATATCTCTCGCGCGGCTTAGGTAGCTTGCTTTTGAATTAGAGGGGAGAGCCGCATCTTTGTAGAGAGAAAGGCAGCAGACAATAGCCACTCTTGTTGACTTTGGGATGCCTGCTAGTTTTTCATTGGTTTTTGACCGAATTGAGAAATAAAACAATTTTCCAATCTCTCGTATGTTTCTTGTGTGGGAGAAGAAAGAAAGCTTAAAGGAGCCGCCATTGTTGACTTTGCTTTTGGCTGCCCGACCTTGTGTGAATTGAATTGGAAAACAAAAGCAATCTCTCGTATGTTTCCACTTAACAATTGGGAGAAGAAAACAAGAGCCACAACGGTTGACTTTGGTGATAGCTTTTCACTGGGCTTTGACCGGGATTGAAATAGGGCGTCAGACCCTCTCTTGCGTTTGCCTTGAGAGAGACAATCGGGTGCAGTACAGTCTCGTGTTTTTTTCCTCCTGTGGTGGACCGAAGCGGGAGAATCGAGTTGCAAACCTTTCCCAATTCTCCACGCGCGGCCTACTCTCCATTAATGGGGAACTAAACCCCTATTTCTAGTCAAGGGACGACTGACGAACTGGTTCACAATTACTGTGAGATCTAAATCATTATTAATTATTTTCTTCATTTATCGATATTTACATGTTCCTTGCTTTTAATCACTATAGCCTTGTGTATGATTGGTTAATGCGCAATAATTAATTATTCATATAGGCTATTTTACTAATTAGAGGTAATTGAATTTGTAATTGTTCGTTATCTCTGTCTTAGTAGCAACTGGCATAATTGGATTTGTGTCAGGGAAATATTTGATCTAACTTAAACAAACCCTCGTAGCGTGTTTGTTAGTTAGGATTGGGCCTTTCTAATTGTTAATGCAATCTAGAAATTAAATCCTACGGTCGTACCTAGGGTTGTTTTTGGGTTAGAGAAATAGCTAACGATTGTACCTTGGCTATCGAGAAATTAAGAAAAGGTTGGTTGTTTATCGCGTGTATGACAACTATAACTAATCTATTAATGAATGTTGGAATTACCTTTGAATCGACGATCAGTTGCATGAACCATTTCTGAAGTATACCCTTGGCTAGAGTTTCTCTTAGTTATTTCTTTTAATTAATTATTTTCTACATTTAATTTGTTTAGTTGGCACTTGATACCAAAACCCCCCCCCAATTAATCTTGATTTGAAAAGAAACAAAATATCTTGCTAATCCCTGAGGAGACGACCCTGCTTACCACTGTCTACTAGTTAGGGAATTCAGTTAAATAATTAATTCAGGTATATTGGATTAAGCAAACTCTTCGGGAACAGGGTGAATCAAGTAACCCATTGCACACCTAGAGTCCCTGCTCCAGTACTCGAATTGATTACTGACTGTTTTAGGTGGTAGTTAGGATTTATTTAGTATTATTATTGCACAGGTTCGGCACCTGTCAATATCTCATTCCTTCCTTGAACTTTAAGCATTTCGGTGGTGCACCAAGTCAGGACAAAGAATTCCCCAAATACATTTGCACCTCAGGGCTCTGCCATGTATTGAGTGGAATGGGGTTTGTTTGGATTGAGCATTATTTGTCAAATTATATCTGCTTACATCATCATTACAATTTCCAACGCACCTTTTTATCTTTCCAATTACCTTTTTATCTCACATACATCACATCACAAAAAGTGCTACAGTAAAAATATCCCCAATAACTTACAATCCAAACAAACCCATAAGTACTACTTGAATGAATAATAATCCTTGGAATAAGCTTTAGATATCCCATATGATTGAAGAAAAAAAAGTTGCTATTGGATTATTGGTTTTATACCTGCTTCAAGGTGTGATGTCTTTGATAAACTGGAGTTTGATCTTCTGTAGCGCTCTTAGAACTTCTTTCATGTATATTCTCTCCTTAGGGGCATCTGTTGTACAACTTAAACCAAGTTGCAAGACAGATGATATGCAGTTAATCTTCTTTTGCACCAGTCCGTCTTCAGGATGAAGTAAATCTACATCTATAACCTGAATCACAGAATCTGGTAAGCAATCTTGTACCCAACGCCTGAGGCTTAATTCTTCTGTGAACAGCTCATCCTTAGGCTTTCTTTTTGTAAATGTCTCCATCAATGTAATTCCAAAGCTGTAGACATCACAACTTGTTGAAACCAATCCTTCCAGTCCATACTCTAGCATCAAAATTTGAAACTCGTTGTTAAAGTCAAGTATTGGTATCGGTTCAGCAAATTTATGTTTTTTCTTAAAAGGTTCAGCAAATTTATGTTGAAAGTTGAAACATTAATTTGAATGATATAAAAATTTCGAAATTTGAGTCAAGAAAAGTCACCTGGGGCAATATATCCAAATGTAGCAAGAGTCTTTGTTTGTACCACAGATTCTCCATCTCCTAACAACTTTGCAATTCCAAAATCGCAAACATGCCCAACCATGTCTTGATCTAAGAGAATATTGCTAGGTTTCAAATCACAATGAACTATAGGAGTTGAATAACCATAGTGGAGATATTCCAAACCAGAAGCCACATCTATCATGATATCCAACCTTTGCATGATACTTAGGACATGATGGTTTACATGAAGCCATTTCTCAAGGCTTCCATTGGGCATGTATTCGAGCACCAAAGCCTTAAAGTCAAGGCTAGAGCAAGCACTAATTACTCTAGTTAAATTTCGATGACGAAGGCAGCTTAAGACTTCACATTCTCTATCAAAGCTTTTAAATGCACCTTCTAGCTGCAAATCGAATACCTTTATGGCCCAAACCATCCCATTTTCACGAATTCCCTTGTAAACTGAACCAAAGCTCCCCGAGCCAAGTAAGTTACTCTCGCTGAATCCATTTGTTATTTGTCTAAGTTCATGGCAGGACGCCCTTTCAAATGTCGCCATGGGAAGCAAGTTCTGAGTCGGAGCTAGAATTTTCTTTCTCAACTTTAACCTCATCAAAAAAATTGAAATCACCAAGGCTAATATGACAGATCCTGATGCCAACAGAACAATCATGACTATCCTTTTTGTCCTTGATTCATGCTCAAATGTACTTGTACAAGGTTGGAGCCAAGGAGCGCCGCACAATGCTTCATTTGAGAGAAAAGATAGGTTCGTGAAATTTGCGAATGGCCCTCCATGAGGAATCGGTCCTTTCAATCTGTTGTAAGACACATTAAAGTATTGGAGATCTGATAGTGTCTGTAATGAGTTGGGAATTTCACCTTCCAGATTGTTAAAAGATAGATCCAAATGCCGTAACTGCAACATACTCTTGATGGAATCCGGTATCAATCCTTGTAGCTTGTTACGTTCCAAGGACAGGTTTTGTAAACTCTGTAGTGCTCCAATGGTGCTAGGCATTTCACCCGAATATTGATTATTTGAAAGGTTCAAATAGACTAATACCTTCAAGTTTCCAATTTCAGCAGGCAAAGAACCTGTCAAATAATTTCCTGACATGTCTAGCTCCAAAATATCTCTGAGGCTCCAAAAGCTTGTTGGTATCATAGAACCTAAATTGTTAGAATTGAGATCAACATATCTGAGTGCTGTAACGTTTCCTAAACAAGAAGGCACCATACCAGAAAGCTTATTTTTTGCCAGATATAATCCTCCTAAGTTCAACAAATAACAAAGCTCACTTGGAATAGCTCCTTGCATCTGATTGTCGCTTAGATGTATCCTCTGAAGCTTCAAGAACCATTTGATTGTAGTTGGAATTAACCCTGTCAAACTATTGTTGTCAAAGTACAGTTCTATTAAGTTGCTCAAATTACCAATCGAACTTGGAATTTCACTTATGATTCCACAACCAGTGGCAGAAATGGATTCGAGTGAGCTAGAAAGATTTCCAATAGACTTTGGGAGGAAGCCATTGAGAGGATTCTCATGTATCCACAACCATGTTAAATGTTCGCAGTTTGACAGGGATATGATGAAGCTCAACTCTTTGGATAGCGAGTCCTCAGAAAAATTATTTTGCCATATACCCAAGTATTCCAATAATCTCATGTTTCCAAGAGAATGAGGAATTGCACCAGTAAAATGATTCATACCAATGCTTAGGATTCTGAGCCTAGAAGCATTTGAGATAGATGCTAGTATAGTTCCACTGAATTCATTTTCATCAAGGTAGAGTTCCTCAAGATTGGGTAAGAAAGCACCTATAGTTGATGGAAGCTCGCCTGATAAATCGTTGTCCGTGAGAGAAATAAATCGTACAGTTGAACTATTGAAAAGTTTCAGCGGGATAGGGCCTGTTAACCTATTCAAGTCCAACATGAGTGCTTCCAACTTGCTAAGATTACCAACCTCTTGAGGTATTATACCTGACAAATGAAATTGGTAAGAAAAAAATGAGTCATTTGACTTGAAACAATTTGGTGAGAAAGGGAAGTAATGAGAAGACAGACACATAGTGGATGCAAGTATTGATCATTATGATTTACAAGCCAGCAAGTTTTTGATACAGAATGATAAAGACGAGTTCAAGTAAATCCATGCTTTTTTTTTTTGGTAAAGTTAATCCATGTTACTAGTATTCATGAACTTAGCATATGATAATAAATATTTTCTTGTAATTTGAATTATGTGTTGGCTTGTTGTATTTATGTACTTTCTTTTTTCCTGTTTTTTGAACTTCAAGGATTGTAATATTCGATGCTAATGAAATAATTGGTGGGACGTACAAATATTTCCACTGGCACAAGTACTTTGAATATGATGATGTCTTCCATCTAAGGACGTAAGGTAAGATGAAATAATAAAATAAATAAATCTTAGAGAAAACTCTTCTGATAATGTAATAATAAAATAGATCTCATGGCAAAATGTATCAAGATTTTTACCTGTCACATTAGCACTCTGTATGGATAGTATCTCCAAATTATAGAGATTGTCAATGACTTTTGGAATTTCACCTGCCAATAAATCATGACATGACAAGAAAATTAATTAAAGGAAGTATTCCCCAATATTTCTAAAGTAATTAGCCTCTGCCAACAGCATTCTTTTATATGTAAATGTTTCATATGAAATATAAATTTAGTCTCAAAATCCTTCAAAACCTAATGAAAATTTATTATTGGGTTATGAGGATTTTGAACCACTTTCATAGGCTTAAGATGGAATTTCAGTCTAAATTCGTAATTCATGCAATAAACTTACATCAATTAGTCATGGATGACAATTGCCGATTATAGCTACAAAATTTAGAAATTTTTATTGAGTAAAGAAGATTATTTTTCCTTTTTGACAAAATAAGGAAGCAAGTTAAGAAATAAGAAAAATCAAACAATTCAGTTTGAAATGAATAAAGATGAATTTCAAGTATGCGGCCAAGTACAGGATGCGGCCAAAACTAAACATACTTTCAAGTATGAAATAAAACAAGAAAGAAGGATGAATTGACATTATGTGCGTTAGGGTAGAGTTGTCTTTTTGCAAAAAAAAATGATTAGTTTGAATGAATTTCATCCATATTACCTTTCCTACATCCTTGTTTTTTTTTTTTATTTTTTTCTAATTAATAGAAGGGTTAAGATTTAAGAAGCGGACAGGGAATTATTGCTTAAATCCAGTTCGGTTAAACATTAAGTGTTCCCCCAGGGAATTATGTGCATCTAAACTCATAACTATTCAAACAGTTAAATTATGATCAATTGATGGCTCGAAACATACACAAGAAGTTGGTAGCTTACCTGTCAGGTCACTTGAATCCAAATATATTTCTGTAAGCGTGGTAAGATTCCAAATTCCCTTTGGTATATACCCTCTGAATCTGTTGTATGACAAACCTAAAACTTGGAGTTTTGAACATTCTCCAATGCCTGATGGAATTTCACCTTCGAAGTGATTATATGATAAATAAAGCCCTTGGAGTTGTGGGAGATGATCGCAGATGCGTGCTGGAAGGTAACCCGATAAGCTATTATTCTCAAAACCAACAATTTGCAATGAGGAGAGGTTAAACAGAGCCTGTGGCAGAGGGCCTGCGAGTTGGTTAGATTGGATTTCCAAAGTAGAAAGAAGTTAAATGTAATATTTGAAGCCGCATGAGGGTCTTGAGTGATTTTCCCAAAAGTATCTCTACCAAAAATATTTCAAACATTCCTACATCCTTGTTTTTTTTTCAAAATTTTTTTTCTAATTAATAGAAGTGTTAAGATTTAAGAAGCGGACAGGGAATTATTGCTTAAATCCAGTTCGGTTAAACATTAAGCGTTTCTCCACACATACGCTACAAGCATTTAAATCTGTGATCTATTGGTGCTCGAATTTTTCAAAACAAAGTGAAATTGGCAGCTTACCTGTCAGGTCGTTCCCACCCAAAGCTATTCGTGTTAGCGTGGTTAGATTCCAAAATTCTCTTGGTATATATCCTCGGAATTTGTTGAGTGACAAGGATAAAACTTGGAGTTTTGAACATTCTCCGATGCCTGATGGAATTTCACCTTCAAAGTAATTCCATGATAAATAAAGTCCTTGGAGTTGTGGGAGATAATCGCAGATATGTGCTGGAAGGTAACCCGATAAGCTATTATTCGTAAAAGCAATAATTTGCAATGAGGAGAGGTTAAACAAATCCCATGGTAGAGGGCCAACAAGTTGGTTATGTTGAATGTCCAAAACTGTCAATTTCGGTAAAGCGCTCAATTCTTCTGAAAGATTTCCAGTAAAAAAGTTGAAACCCAACCTGATGGTCTCTAACTTTGTGAAATTAGAGAGCCTGCCTGATAATGAACCTGAAAATCCGTTATCTCGGAAGGATAAGTATTGGAGTGTAGTTAAACCTCCCAACCATGACGGTAGTTCTCCTTCAAAGGCATTATCTTCCAAGTTGATGTACTTCAATCGGCGTAGACGAGATAGCTCAGTTGGAAGATGTCCATGAAAGCTGTTATTCATAACATTCAACCTGACGAGAAATGAAAGATTACCCAATTGTGGAGGTATAGTTCCTGCAATTCCCATGTAAGAAAGGTCAATGGCTGCGACTCTGTGATGACGAGCATTACAAGTGATTCCAATCCAGTTGCAAACAGAGGTAGAAGTGGACCAGTTGGTTGGGATGATCCTTTGGGGATCGAAAATGGCGGCTTTGAAGGCAAGAAGAGCATTCAGATCACTAGCACTGTTGTTATGGTTATTGGCAATACTTATGCTGTCTGAGCTAGTTGCGATAAAGTGCAACAGTACCAAGGCTCCAGCGAAAAAAAAATAAGTTCTCTGCATTGCTTATAGAGGCAAATAAAACTTGAGGAATGCCAAACAAAAGGTAAATAAAACATTGTGACATTGGGCAGGACTTATATAGGCATATACTTGGGGTTGAGTTAAAATGTTTCCACGAGGAAGTGACAAGGTTTTGACAAATTGAAGATCCTCATTTGTTCAACTAGGCTCAATTTTGATATGTTTGTTAGTTTAAATTCTTTTCTTCTTTTAGATTTCTCTATATTACGCTGGCAAAACTGGAAGTAATTTATGGAAAATCTGTTTCTCAATTTGGTGAATTAATATATAGCTTGATTCTATCTCTGAGACTTGTGTTTTTAATTTGTCACAATTTGAAACTAGCTTTTTTTTTTTTTTTTTTTTTTGTATTCTTCAACTTTTGAGCAATTGATATGACAAGCAATCCGGTGCTTTAGCATTCTATGTGGCAAAATTGAATTTTGAGTATAACAATTTTCCAGGAATGACGAAAGGGAAACTACTCCAAGCCAAGGTAAAATTATTGTGTGTTTGAAAATCTCTATACAAAAATAAATTGAAGGATAAAAGAAGAGAAGATGCAGAGCAAGTGTCCTAAGCCTCCATGTCCCTAGACTTGTACATGAAAGGAAGGCAGTTGACTGGAAACTCTTGTATGAACCAACAGTATCCAACCAAACACCATCCAATCAATTGGTAACTGAAAATACGGCTGAGAATCTTTCGATGTGGGATGGAAATCGTGTATGAATCTAGTCTACGGTATAAGTGGAAACTTTTGGTTAAATGACCAAATGAGCCCTGCGGTTGACCAATTATATTTACCCCTATATGTGATTGTGCTCAAAGGGAAAAATGCACTATTAATCATCAAGGTTCGGTTCGCGTACCAAATTGGTCCTAATATTTCAACTAAAACAAATTTGATTCTCAATGTTTCTGATTTTACCAATAGTAATAATCAAATTACCATTAGTCATCAGTTTTGACTTTTCAATTTTGGTCTATAATAATTCGAATTTGGATCATTATAGTACCTCAAGTTATAAATACTAAAACTAAGAGTTTTAAAATGAAATGATTTGCAAATTAGATTGAAATTGTGTAGTAGGAATTCTGTAATTGAAAACATACAAAAACTGATTAAACTTATTTTTCTTCTTTTTCTCTAGCTTTTTATTTCATTTATTCATCCCGTTAGTTTGTTACAGGCTTCTTATATTTTTTTATAGCTGTTCTCAAATTTCGCATAATATTCAAATTTATTGTTTTACACCATGAATAATTAATGGCTAAAATGTTCTATTTATTTATTTATTACTTGTATTAATAATTAAACACTTTAAAATAAAAGAAATATGTACCATAAATGACGAGTATTACAAGTGATTCCGGTCCAGTTGCAAACAGAGGCAGAAGTGCGGGACATCAATATATAGGATAGAAGAAGATGCATTTTTTTGTGACTAAACATGCAATATATAAATCCAATGTAGCACTCCATGCTTTAGGATGTAAAAAAAATCTAATCAAGCCGAATAATCTAATGTTTAAACTTACTTAGTGATTTAATGAGTCAAAATTATGTTCAACTTTGACTTACTTATACATTGAGTCGAATTGAAACAAACTTTTATCATGGTAAACTTGAGTCAAGATTGAATAGATTGAATTTTTTGCATATATTTCAAGATTCATACTAATCAAATCAAATTCAAGCTGAGTTGTAAACTTTATTGAATGCAAAATGCTATTCATATTTGTCTTGATTAATTGACGAACCAAAGTCAAATGATTTCTTATTGAGTTAAACTTGATTCGAATATTAAGTAATTTTGTTTATCTTTCAACAATACGTGCTATTGATAAACTTTTCTCAGTTTTAAAAATTTCCTCAAACAAACTTTTCTCAATTTTTAAAATTTCCTTTTACCCTGACTACTAAGGATAAAATACAATATATTTAGGGCGGGGAAAAACCAATCTCAATCAGATATGGTTAATTATTCTACAATTGGGAGTAAATATATATTTCTCCATGTTTACTAACTTTATGTGAAACATTTGACAACTTACTATCCTCGTATAAAAAATTTGAAAATAAATAAACAAATAAAAAAGAGCCCGGATGAAAAATTTTAATGATACTGCCCTACTTTCAATACTAGAGTAAATTTTACTTTGTCAAGATAAAAGGATCCTTTAGACTTCGAAGTCTAAAGCGTTATTCCTGCGGTTGTGCCGCACAGCCAACATGTCTTTTTCCCCTCGGATTGGAGCCCAAATGAGACTTGGCACCTTAGTACTTTCTTAGTACCTTCTGCCCATTTTGTCTTAAAAGGAATTTAACCCAAGTAACCAACTAATAAGAAAACTTGGTTTAACTCGTACAGGGTATTCGTCAGCTTAGATCACTATCAATTGAAATGCAACAATTCTTGGATTAAATAATTAATTATCTTTGTAAATGAATTACACTTTTCTTTAAACAAATTCTGCTGGTATTGTTTTTTTTTTTTTCTTTTTAGTCAATGCAGTCTTTTTACATGAAAGGAAGGCAGTTGACTGGAAACCCTTGTATGAATCTAGTCTATGGTATAAGTGGGCTAATGACGTTTGTACACGGATATATCATATTCCTTCTATTCACAAATCCTTTAAAGAAACCATCATTTTCACTTAATATATGAGGAAATTCTTTAAACAAATTCTGCTGGTATTGTTTTATATCTTTAATAGTCAATGTGAAAAAAAAATGTGCTGGCTATCAATCTGTAACTTATCTCTAATATAAGGGTTGCAATGTTTTTTTTTGACAAACCAATAATTTAGGTTAAAAAATTATATTTCAGATACCAAAATGGAATAGAAATATGTGGGAGCCTATGCAACAAAAAAAAAGAAAAGAAAAATCCAGAGTACTATTTTTATTTGACTAAAAAATATTTCACTTCATTAGGGACGATTAGCATTCATTGTTGGTTTCGAAAGTGGCGCGTAAAATAAATCAACATTTAAAATTTATTTAGATGATCTTTCCTAGATTATGTAAGTTTTATATTTTTTCCATTGAAAATTATATTATTTGATTAGTTTACACTGAAGAAAAAATGATGCTCTGAAAAATTTATGATTACACTTCAAGGCTTAAATGGAGAATAAAAGTTGATATTGGAGATAAGGTCCAATTCATATGACATCAAATTGACGATTTTGTAATGAGTCTTCACTTCAGAGCTCAAAATGAAATACTAGATAAATAGATAGACTGTCTATAATATTGGAACATCTCTAGTAATTCACTCACCATTGGAAGTTATGATGTCTCTTTTAAACTGGGGAAAGAATGATTAAATAAATCGAATAAGCAGATAAGACGTCAAGCAGCTTACCATCTTCTCTTTTACTTTTCTTCCATTGTTTGGAAGGAAAGCAGAGAAAGAGAAATGGATTTAACGCTTGAACCCTAAAGAATGGTGTATATCCATTCACTGTTCAAAGAATTTACAGTTGGTCTTCTTCACGATATCATCCTTCAGTGCAGAACCAGTAGTCTTGCTTCAGACTCAAGATGGTTATTGTAACGTCAAATGACATTCACTCAAATGACTTGGGACAAATTGCTGTTTAGAATACTCCGTAACTTTATTATTACTTGGAAAAAGACCCCATTGGCGACCAAGTCCAAATGCAAGGCATAAATTTCCCCCTGCAAGTAAAAGAAAGGGACCGAAATACAATTAATTCAAGACCAGATATTAATTATTATATACGAAGACTCTTTTCTAATTTACTTTTTTTGTGTTAAATTAACTCTTCTATACTTTTTTTTTTAATCTTTTGTAGCTGATTGTTTTGTAAGGTAATCGGTATCACAAGCAAATCTATCTTTGGCCATAATCAATGTTTGAACATCCGAATCTTCCACCAATGATAGAATGGAATATGGACGTTACTCCATGCGAAGATAAATATCTTTATGATTTGGGCAACTTCCATATGAAAATAAAGCAGCTGTTTGGTAAATGGGTATGAGAGTGTGTGTGAGTCTATGTACACACACACACACACACACACATATATATATATTGTTTGGTACACCACTATGGAAATGAAAGTGTTAGATTTTCTTCTTCATCATTTCTTACTTATAGCTTGAATTTCAAATAAATTAGCTCTTAAATAGAATGAATTTCATTCCACTCCTTAACAAGACGAGTAAGGGAAAATAACCAAGATGTATACTCGTAATGAGCTCTGCAATTCCATTCTCAATTTTGATTCCAGAATTTGAATCAAACACTTCCTAAATGGTAAAAGAAGAGAAGACTGAAGACTGAAGACTTGTTCAATTGTCTTAATCCTCTAACTATCTCGCCTCATGAGGGGCCCTAATTTGTCTAAACGTCTATTATGTGGAAAGAAAAAAGTTGCACCAAAAAACTTCTCACCCGGTCCCAAGTCAAGAATTGACGCGTTATTTTCTGCTATTCCCTTTCAAGAAGGACCACAAACTGAAAAGGGAAGCTATTAAAGTTTGCATTTTCCAATTGACTAAAAGGCGTTGGACCATAATACTCTCGTATGAATCCAGTCCACGCTTAACCTATTATCCCCATGGAGGGCCTGTATACTTCAAGCCTGACCCATTAACGTGGTCCAGCATAGAAGATGACAGATTCACCATGGACGGCCTGTATACTTCACGCTCGACCTATTAACGTGGTCCAGCATAGAAGATGACAGATTCACCATGGACGGCCTGTATCCTTCCGTTCATTGGTTAATGGTCAGAATCGTAAATGGCTCCATGCTACTAGAATTTCCCCAACTGGACTTTAAGTATCTTCCACCCCACAAATGCATAGAAAATCTAACATTCATCTAAAACAAAATTTGTGAGAACATCTTCTTGGTGTAACGGTAGATTCATGGGATCGTTTGCAATTTATACGGTTATGTGTAATGTCTTCAAAAACTTTAAGAACTCATAGATTTTTTTTTCGCACTATGTATAATTGTACTTCAATATTGAATTTTGTTTTTGTTAAAAACTAACTTGAAGTTTTGGATTTTATTTTCTGGGGTGAACCACTTAGGGAGCCCCTTAACCATTCCAGTGATCAAACTATTGGTCCTTTATCTATTTCAAATATTGAATTGGTCCCTCAACAATAAAAACGTTTCAAAATCTTATGATGCCATCATATTTATTTCTACCGTTATATCCATCATATTTCTACTTGGATGATGCCAAAATCTTTATTTTCGAGAAAAGACTTCAACAATAATGCCGAGGACTTAAATACGGGGAATTTAAAGTCTGTAACATGGCCTGAGTCAAGTGTGTGATAAGTGCATTTATGTTAATTAGACGGGATAATTTCAGAAACCTCCCTTGAGGTTTCTAATAACTTCACTTGGCTTCCCTAAAGTTTCAAAAATTACACCTACCTCTCTTGTCCATTTAAAATGACAATACTATGCTTAATATTGTTAATAAGACTCTTTTGTTGCCATGTTTATGCAAAGGATGGATTTTATTATTTTGTTTACCTTTTTCCTTACTATTCATTAGAAATATAAAAGAACTATCAATGTTGTCCCTAATATTTATCCAAGTTAAACTTTAAACTAGTAATATTTTTTTGATAACTTTTAATATCCTCCATTTTTTTTTTGTAGCTTAAAACAAAATGGCCCAAAATCACTACCAAATTATGATAGTTCCACCACTAAACTAGTCCATAAATTTTTATTAAAAAAATAGTCCATAAACTTTAAAAGAAACAAAATAGAGAAACAAAATAGCACTTTCTTCTCTATCATAAAAAGAATTTATATTCCTAGAAAAGCATTATGAAAAATACCATATTACAGCAAAAGATTTGTTGTTATAATTAATTATCAAATAACAAATATTGACATGAAAAACTTGGCACTCTTGTTGTTTAGAAAAATAAATTGAACTTTGTAAGATAAGAGTATTTTAAGGTATTTATTAAAATTTTTACTCTATTTTTTGCTCTGAGTCTACATGCATTTCAATCATTTACTTGCTAGATATTTCTAGCCTATCAAGGAAGACTTATACCTCACGTTGGACTTCTTGGCAAGCGGATTCTTCTTTCAAGATAGTGATACATAGTTATGGAGACTTTTAAACACCTTTTTCTTGTCATTTGAGTCTATTTTCCCCTAATCCAGGGTTGCTATTAAAGTCACCTAATATTGCCATCTTGACGAAGACCACAAGGTCGAAATCCATGTCTCTTCTTTTCATCCGACTTTTCTAAAGTGAAGTGTAGAGAAAGATAAGTAATTATCTGAGTTTTCTTGACTTAGACCTGCAGCAATTATTTTCTTTTTTCTTATATCCTTTCTGTTAATTGGATGGAAAGGAGCAAGAAATAGATTTGAGATTTTGACCCAAGACCTAGAGCTGCTAAATGTCTTCACCTTTCCCCCCCTGCCCGAAAAAAAAAAAAAATTCTTCCCCACTGTAGTTATTATCTTTTTTCTTACATGCCTCTACAATTTCAAGTTCGAATTGCACCGTGAACTCTATCATCACTTGTGTGTGTGTGTGTGTTTTTTTTCCTTTCCAATTGCACCATGCAGCACCCTTATTTCTTCCTCTTTGTAACCATAGTGGATATGTGGATGAAAAGCATACTTGGTTTTGATACCAATGCACACCTTAATTGTGTGTAGTGAATAACTATCATTTTCGTTGCATACGTTAATTGTGTTATTTCAGATTATTTGTAGCCTAAAATTTTTTCACATGTTTCAGTTTTGGCCAATAAGTTTACACAGTTGACAAGAATTTATTGTAAAACTATCAATTCCTTTGCCAAAATTAACAAAATAGAAGAATTACTAAACAACTCCAAAATCCACTGAGAGAATGCTTTACAAAATACTAAAGCACTGAATGGGCTCACTTGAATTCTATAGCCCAAACGGTTCTAAGCAACAAACAGGAAAACAACCATACATGGATCCATGGCCCATCCATCTATCACGCATCAAATATCAAGTGTCATGGCATCAAATATCAAGTGTCATGGACACTATACATTTAAGTCATGAGTCCCAAAACTGAAAATTAAACCTTTCAGAAATGCTAAGAATAAAAACTAATCCTATATTCCTCTGCATAAAATTTTTTTTTCTTTTTCTTTGATGGTCTGAAGAATATTTTACTGACTTGGCATGGAGAAATAAAGAGCATTTCAGAATCCAAATTTGATTCTATGAGCAATTAATCAGCCAATTTGGCGATTGGAAGCTTATACAAATGTCTGTGGAACTATAATTATTTTAAGTCATTTTTTAAATTTGGAGATTTATAATGTAATTTTTATTATTTTTCAGATCTGTTCTTTGGTATCCGTGTATATTTGATGACGTATTTTTTGTCATTAGTGCAGATTTTAAAGAAATTATGATATTTTTTCAAAAAAAAAACCCGGAGGGGATGGAAACGGCTGAATTCTTTTAATCTCCAATGTCAAAGGAATGCATGAATTAGATGGGGAATCTCCAACGTCAAAGAAAATGCATGAATGAAATGTTCCCAAATCACCTACAATCTAGTGAAGAGCTCCAACGAAAGCAATTTTTCAAAATAGAGCTATTTAACAAATGTTCCCACACAAGAAAAAATATATATTCCCACAGCTCATGGAAATGGTACATCGTTATTTTCACAATCTCCCACCATCGTCAACACCAATTACAAATTTGAGCTTCAGGTAACCCTTAAAAAGTGTTATTAATTTCTATTAGGTAGTAATTGTTGGACATGAAACTACTTTGCGCTCTCTGTTTTGTGCACCTTTAAAATGTAATTTGAAATAAAATTAGTTTTTTTTAACGCATGTTCAATTGATACTCGTTAACACATCTACATTCCACCCAATCTATCATGTATATATATATATATACTAACAATTACTACCATCCTTTACATTTATACATTTTTTCTAATTAATCCTTTTGCATTTTTGCACTTTTTCTAATTAATTTTATATTTTTAAAAATCTAACACCTGAAATACATCTTAACAAGTGCACCCATTGAGCAGCCATTAGACAGACCGATAAAATAAATACATGAATCTATATGCCATATGCATGCTCTGTATTTACAAATACATATGCTTATGTGTATCTCTACATGGTGATATATATCGACGATCAATTTGATTCTCATTTATTTGCAAAAATTGAAAAAGGGAAAGATGGATCAATAACTGAAAGTAAATAATCAACTTAATTGCTATATATGTATGTCAAACAAAAACACCAAGTAAAATGCTTGGGCTTTCATAACATATAAAATGGGATTATGAACTTGAGGTCTCCATATCTGTAAACAAACTTATTGGTAAATACAACATATCCCATTCCTGTTTTGAACCATAAGCATTTCGGTGGTGCACAAAGTCAAGACTAAGAATTCCCCAAATACATTTGCACCTCAGAACTCTGCAACGTATTCAGGAGAAAAACGTAAGTACTACTTGAATGAATAGCAATCCTTGGAATAAGCTTTTGTTATACCATAAGATTGAAGAAAAAGTTGCTATTGGAATATCTCATAAATAATGGTTTATACCTGCTTCAAGGTGCTATATCTGTGATAAACTGAAGTTTGATCTTCTGGAGCGCTCTTAGAATTTCTTTCATGTTTATTCTCTCCTCAGGAGCATATGTTGTACAACTTAAACCAAGTTGCAAGATAGATGATATGCATTCAATCTTCCTTTGTACCAGTCCACCTTCATGATGAAGTAAATCTACATCTATAACCTGAATTATGGAATCCGGTAAGCAATCTTGCACCCAACGCCTGAGGCTTAACTCCTCCGTAAACATCTTGTCCTTCGGCTTTCTTTTCGTAAATGTTTCCATCATTGTAATCCCAAAGCTGTAAGCATCACTACTTGTTGAAACCAATCCTTCCAATCCATATTCTAGCATCAATGTTTGAAACTCATTGTTAAAGTCTTATATTGAAAGTTGAAATATTAATTTGAATGGCAAAAAAAATTCGAAATTGTAATCAAGAAAAGTCACCTGGGGCAATATATCCAAATGTAGCAAGAGTCTTTGTTTGTACCACAGATTCTCCATCTCCCAACAACTTTGCAATTCCAAAATCACAAACATGCCCAACCATGTCTTGATCCAGTAGAATGTTGCTAGGCTTCAAATCACAGTGAACTATAGGAGTTGAATAACCATAATGGAGATATTCCAAACCACAAGCCACATCTATCATAATATCCAATCGTTGCTTGATATTTAAGAAATGATGGTTTGAATGAAGCCATTTCTCAAGGCATCCATTGGGCATATATTCAAGCACCAAAGCCTTAAAGTCAGGGCTCGAGCAAGCACTAATTACTCTAGTTAAATTTCGATGACGAAGGCACCTTAAGGCTTCACATTCTCTATCAAAGCTTTTAAATGCACCTTCTAGCTGCAAATTGAATACCTTTATGGCCCAAACCATCCCATTTTCGTGAATTCCCTTGTAAACTGAACCAAAGCTCCCCGAGCCAAGTAAGTTACCCTCGCTGAATCCATTTGTTATTTGTCTAAGTTCATGGAAGGATGCCCTTTCAAATGTCGCCATGGGAAGCAAGTTCTGAGTCGGAGCTAGAGTTTTCTTTCTCAAACTTAACCGCATCAAAAAAATTGAAATCAACAAGGCTAATATGACAGAACCTGATGCCAACAGAACAATCATGACTATCCTTTTTGACCTTGATTCATGCTCAAATGTACTTGTACAAGGTTGGAGCCAAGGAGCGCCACACAATGCTTCATTTGAGAGAAAAGATAGGTTCGTGAAATTTGCGAACGGCCCTCCATGAGGAATCGGTCCTCTTAATCTGTTGTAAGACACATTAAGGTATTGGAGATCTGATAGTACCTGTAATGAGTTGGGAATTTCACCTTCCAGATTGTTAAAAGATAGATCCAAATGCCGTAACTGCAACATATTCTTCATGGAGTCTGGTATCAATTCTTGTAGCTTGTTATGTTCCAAGGAGAGTTCTTGCAAATCCTGTAGTGCTCCAATAGTGCTAGGTATCCCACCCAAGTATTGATTATTTGAAAGGTTCAAATAGACTAATGACTTCAAGTTTCCAATTTCAGCAGGCAAAGAGCCTGTCAAATAATTTCCTGACATGTCCAGCTCCAAAATATCTCTAAGGTTCCAAAAGTTTGCTGGCATGATAGATCTTAAATTGTTGATATTAAGATAAACATACCTGAGCATGGTAACATTTCCTATGCAAGAAGGTACCACACCAGAAAGCTTATTTTTTGCCAGATGAAAACCTTCCAAGTTCAACAAATAACAAAGCTCACTTGGAATAGCTCCTTGTATCTGGTTGTCAGTTAGATCTATCATCTGAAGCTTCAACAACCATTTGATTGTTGTTGGAATTACTCCAGTCAAACTATTGATTGCAAAGTCCAGCCCTATCAAGTTGCTCAAATTACCAATCGAACTTGGAATTTCACTTATGATTCCACAACGAGCGGCATAAAGGGATTCGAGTGAGCTAGAAAGATTTCCAATAGTCTTTGGGAGGAAGCCATTCAGAGGATTCTCATCTACCCACAACCATGTTAAATGTTTGCAGTTTGACAGGGATATGATGAAGCTCAACTCTTTGGATAGCGAGTCCTCAGAAAAATTATTTTGCCATATACCCAAGTATTCCAATAATCTCAAGTTTCCAAGAGAATGAGGAATTGCACCAGTAAAATGGCTACCGCTAAGGTCTAGCATTCTAAGCCTAGAAGCATTTGAGATGGATGTTAGTATAGTTCCAGTGAATTCATTTCCCCCAAGGTAGAGTTCCTCAAGATTGGGTAAGAAAGCACCTATAGTTGATGGAAGCTCGCCTGATAAATCATTCTCCGTAAGAGAAATAACTCGTGCAGTTGTACTATTGAAAAGTTTCAGCGGGATGGGACCTCTCAACCTGTTCGACATCAAGTTTAGTAGTTCTAACTTGCTAAGATTACCAACCTCTACAGGTATTATACCTGACAAATCAAATTGGTAAGAAAAAAAATGAGTCATTTGACTTGAAACAATTTGTTGAGATAGGGAAGTAATGAGAAGATAGACACATAGTGGATGCAAGTATTGAGCATTATGATTTACAAGCCAGCAAGTTTTTGATACATATTGATAAAGACGAGTTCAAGTAAATCCACGTTACTAGTATTGATGAACTTAAGCATAAAGCCATAATGCATCTTTTCTCTTTTCATTTGAGTGCATGGATCACTGACCGAATGCATCTAGCTGTAGCAAGATTTGACATGGTCAGGCAATTGATGCTACGCTGGGTCTTGTAAATGGAAGTTTATCATACTAGGTAAGTAGTAACCAAAGCATGACAACATGGCAAAACTTTTGTATCTCACATCTCTGAAGTCAAGTAGCTAAATTTAATGAAAGAGGAAGCATCTCAACAAATTCAGGGGTAAAGATAGGAAGGCAAGTGGTATACTTCATTGACAATTTTGGAAATGACGAAACATTTTCAGACAATGTTTCAAACGAAATAACATGACATTGTCAAAAGTGGCATAGAATTATACACTTTCCCTTCTTCAAGCATTCAATCTTTCTATCTCTTTGTACCATCTCTCGAAGTGCTTCCTCATCTTCCTATTTCCCATTGTATCACCTATTAGCCCCCTATCAGTATCTCTATTTTTGAAGTGCAATCAATTGGAATTTGAAGTTGAGATGAAGCTGTAGCATATTGAGATCAAGCTGATCAAAATCGTTTTGGCTTATGCAGTGCACCAGTATGACTGACCAATTGACGTATGAGAAAGAGCATATTTGATTTGTATTTGAACTCGCTTGACTTAAAGCTCAAATTCAAGTTTGAGAAAAGTATTCTAATGATGGAATAATGAAATAGATCTCATGCCAAAATGTATCAAGATTTTTACCTGTCACATTAGCACGCTCCATGCCTAGTTTCTCCAAATTATAGAGATTGTCAATGAGTTTGTTTGGACAAAGAAAGTTTGCAAGATTTATTTCAGATTTTGTTTTGCTTACATCACACACACAATTCCCAATCACCTTTTTATCTCACATACATCACATCATAAAAAATGCTACAGTAACTGGATCAAATAAATCATCCAAATAAATTCTTATCCAAACAAACTCAATGACTTTTGGAATTTCACCTGTTCAAAAATCACGGCATGATGATAAATATAATTAATGGCATGGCATAATTATATGTATATAATATATATGCATTTAGAAATTCTAAGGATCTTCAGTTTAGTTTCAAACAATATCATCTAAATCTCTCATAAATATTGGCAAAATGACGGTTACATACACTCCCAAAAATTGGAGGTCATTTTGGTGGCAATCTATATGCGTATGTCAATGAATTTTTAAATGTATGCATAAATTAGAAATAAAATTAATATAAAATCTAAATATGCATATCGAAATTAATACATTTTACATTTTCTTTCATAGACGGCATGAAGTTTCAAATGTCCAAAAATTTTAATGGGAAATTACTCAAAACCACTCATGTGGCTTGAAAATATACTTTTAACATCCTTATGCTTTGGATTCAAAGGCAAGAGAGATGTAATCCATCAAAGCCAATGGTTTTGTACAAAAAGACAACTCTGCCCCATTAATATACATAGTGTTAATTCGTTCTTCTTTCACAAGTACATCAAACAAAAGTGTGTGTTTGGCATAGTCATTAATCCCGGCCTAGACATCAACCTGGCAAGGCCATTGGTGTAACAAGTTAGCGGCTTAACCATAGATTTACTGATCCAACTATTTCCCTCCTCATTCAGTCCAACTACTAATCCAAGATCACTAAGTTGACCAATTGAACCATTGGGTTAGGTTTAGTAACTCTGTGTTCGCCATGCTTTGAGTTTTTATTTCCTGACTTTTATCTTTATTTTGTTGAAAACAAAAACTTCTTTATTCACACGAAGTTTGCACCAATACTTAAGCAGTTAGCAATCATCAGAAATAGTGTATGTGATGTAAATTTTTCATGCAATTATGATTCTAGTCTCAAAATCCTTTAAACCCAATGAAAATTTCTCAATGGGTTAAAAAGGATTTTGAACAATTTTCATTGGGTTATGATGGATTTTCAGTCTTAATTTGTACTCCACACAATAAACTTACATAAATTAGTCTTGGATGACAATTGCCGGCTATAACTACTTTATAATGTACATTAATGAACATCCCCATATGATCATTGATAAACAAAGAATGCAAAAAGAAGGAATGATTGCTTATATCCAGTCTACTTAAACATTAAGTTTGAACTTAATCTACTCAAACATTAAGTGTTTCTGCACACATACTCATCTAAACTCACAACCCTACAAGCATTTCAATCTGCGATCAATTGGTGCTCGAAATACACAAGAATTTTGCAAAACAAAGTCAAGTTGGCAGCTTACCGGTCAAGTCGTTCCCACCCAAATATAAACCTGTAAGCGTGGTTAGATTCCAAATTTCTCTTGGTATATATCCTTGGAATTTGTTGTAAGACAAGGATAAAACTTGGAGTCCTGAGCATTCTCCGATGCCTGATGGAATTTCACCTTCAAAGTTATTAAGTGATAAGTAAAGCCCTTGAAGTTGTGGGAGATAATCGCAGATATGTGCTGGAAGGTAACCCGATAAGCTATTACTCGTAAAACCAAAAACTTGCAATGAGGAGAGGTTAAACAGAGCCTGTGGCAGAGGGCCTGCAAGTTGGTTATATTGAATTTCCAAAAGTTTCAATTTCGGTAGAGCGCTGAATTCTTCTGAAAGATTTCCAGTAAAAAAGTTGTAACCCAACCTGATGGTCTCTAACTTTGTGAAATTAGAGAGCCTGCCTGATAATGAACCTGAAAATCCGTTATCTCGGAAGGATAAGTATCGGAGTGCAGTTAAAGCTCCCAACCATGACGGAAGTTCTCCCTCAAAGTTATTACCTTCCAAATTGATGTACTTCAATCGGCGCAGACGAGATAGCTCGGTTGGAAGATGTCCATGAAAGCTGTTATTCATAACATTCAACCTGACGAGAAAAGAAAGATTTCCCAGTTCTGGAGGTATCGTTCCCGCAATTCCCATGTAAGAAAGGTCAATGGCTGCGACTCTGTGATGACGAGCATTACAAGTGATACCAATCCAGCTGCAAACAGAGGTAGAAGTGGACCAGTTGGTTGGGATGATCCTTTGGGGATCAAAAATGGCGGCTTTGAAGGCAAGAAGAGCATTCAGATCACTAGCACTGTTGTTATGGTTATTGGCAATACTTATGCTAGCTGAGCTAGTTGCGCTAAAGTGCAACAGTACCAAGGCTCCAACGAAGAGAAAATAAGTTCTCTGCATTGCTTATAGAGGTAAATAAGCTTGACGAATGCCAAATAAATATAGAACATGAGCATACATTGTGACTTTGGGCAGGTCTTATATAGGCATAATTGCGGTTGACTTGCTTTTTTTTCCACAACGTATTGTCGTTGTATTTCTTTTGTAAAACTGGATTATCAACTGAAGATGTAAATTGGTAAAAATGTTGAAAATTGGAGCTTTGGAATTGGTAAAGTCTTACACGTGTGAATTGGTAAATTGCTGTTATCATCGTCTATGACGAAGTGATGAGACTTCGTCAAATTGAAGTCCCTCGTCTGTTCACCAAGTTTCCATTTTGATATGTTCCCTACTTTATTGTTTTCTTCTTTCAGATTGCTACATATTACCCTGGCAAAACAGACACTAACTGATAGGAGATCTATTACTCAATTTGGTGAATTAATGGCAAACAGAAACTAACTGCATATTATCGCCTTGACTCTATCTTGAGACGTGCGGTTTTATTTTGTCACAGTTTGAAATTAGGCAAAAATGCCAACTATTGTACCCCAAAGCTGACAAGTGTGGAGCAGCTTTTTTTAAGTGTATTCTCTATCTCTTACATTTAGTATTGAAGGAATGTAACCCAACCCACCAATTAAGTAATAAACCTGGGATAAAAATGCTTTTATATATCTAAAGAGCTTATGACTACCATAAAACACAATGAATTTAGATTGAGCAAGGATTTTCCTCAGTCAATACTTGTCCTTAAACAGTAGTTTGTACTTGTATAGGAATTAGGATTTTGTTTTCTATCAATTTTGTTTCTGTGCTTATTGCACTGTAACTGTCAGGCAATAGGAAAGACCTTAAAACCTCTTTTCTGATCATTGGTCCAACTCCCATAGTTATATTTTTGTACTTGAATATGCTCTGATGCTTTATCAATTAATATATACACCAATTCACTTCTTTCAAATCTTTTTCACCCCCAACCTTAAGTATAAAATTCGAATCCTAATCCTGACAATGAAAATAATCCTAAAAAATCTTCTCTGATCACTAGGGCCAACTCCGATAGTTATATTTTTCTCCTTGAGCATGGTTTGATGCTTTATCAATTAAATCTGATTTTCACGTGTAAAAAAAAAAAAAAAAAAAAAAAAAGCTACGCTTACCCCGGACATGCATTTCTATCCCTCAGTCGCCAGCAATCACCTGTCGACCCGGGGGAACTTTGTACCTCAACTTGGACTGGGTCGCAAGTGGGTTCTTTCCCAGTAGCTATGGACAATTTAAGCAGCTTGTCTTGATGAAGACCACTAGAGCTGGTAAAAAAGCCCAAAATCCAACAACCCGTCCAACTCGTTCATTAATTTTAAAAGATGGGTGGGGTCAAATGGGTTATGGATTTTGTTGGGTTGGGTAAGAACAACCCAACTTATTCATTGGACGGGTTGAATTTTTTATTTAGGTGCCCAATACCCAACTTGTTTAAAAGTAATTCAAAATAATAAATATAAAATTCAATACGCATATGCTCAACTATTTGTATTTGGACATGTGTTAATAATGCATTGATTAATTTTTATTCAAAATTCTCATATATATATTTTCAATCAATATTTTTAATTTTTCTTTAAAAAAAAGAAACTTGAAATAAAAACTCATGCTTATTTTACTTTTTTAACAGTAGTTAAACTTGCTCAACTTCTATAATAATTTATTATGCCTTTTAAAAGTATGTTGTTTTCCTCCCTTTTTTTCTTTTTTTTTTGTGGTTGTTCTCAAATAGCTACTTGCTTTTGTTTGTTAATATTTCATGTATGTATAATATTGTACAAATTTCTTTTTTAACCTTTTAGCATTATATAATTTCGGATTCTTCAAATTTACAAACAAAACTTACTTTGCATCAGCCTAATTTTTCACTAATTCAAAATAATGCGATCCCAATGTGGTAAAAATGTTAGAATAGTTCATGAATTCTCCTCTCATTTATTTCTTAAAAAGTTTGAGATTTTCTTTAATAATTTTTTGGGGACCAATACCTGTACATTTTACAAGCATATAATATTTTCTGCTTTATATCAAAGCTGTGGTAATTCTAAAAGATTAATATGACCATAGCATCAAGTATGATCCTAGATGATTCTAATTAATCAGGTGATGAATTATCTAACTCTATCAAATCAATAAAAAAATACCTTCTAATATATATTATATGTATATAGATCATGATATTAACTTCGAATCAATATAGTTGACTTGCAGATTCTAGTCCAATGATTTCATTTCGTTTGAAGCAAACACTTCCAATCGTCAACTTCATGAGAAGCTTACAATCAGCAAGACAATTAATTTTCCCTCTTAATTAGCGAGTCCAAGAACCAAAATGCCATAATGTCTCCAGTCATTTAATGGAAGAAAGCAATTTCCATATTATCCCCAGAGTGGAGTCCTGATGCATGGACCTTTCACAACAGTTTGCAAAATTTCTAAAGTCATGAATCATAAAATTTTTTAGAATATAAGGGCTAAAGTACAAACTTATTTTCTATAATTTCAATATTATTATACAACAAATTATATGTCTCTTACTTACATTTTCAAGTATAATATAATCTAGCATTCATTAATTTAAATACATAAAATACTACAATTTACAATAAAGCAGATATAAATAGTAAAAGTGTTAATAAGTTGTGACAAAAATAAGTTTCAATCAATTAGTAGTATTAAAAAGTATAAAGTAAACAATTTTTTTAGCTAATCTATTTAAATGTACAATTTATTATCTAAAATTCACATACAAGCAATATAAAATATTATTCTATTTATGATGTGTTTTCAAGTAATTTAAGAAGTGAGTGTGTGTTTTTTGCGTGAAAATACATTTATGTATGTGAAAATGTGTTTATATGTGTGAAACAAATCTTTTTTATGTGTTAAAATGTATGTGAAAAAGTTTATGTATTAAAATGTATTAATTAATATATTGGATCATGAGTTTGAGATAATCCAATATGATCCAATCCAAAATCAACCCAATCTAAATTGGACGAATTGAATTTTAAGTGAAAATCCAATATTAACCCACCCAAAACCCGTCCAACTTGCCCAATATAAAGACCACATTCATTGAAGGTGCTTTCTTGATGGAGACCGGCTGCCCAATTCTCTAACTTGATACTGTTGTTTTGTTGTCCTTTACTTCACTTGGTAGGAATAAATGCCAACAGGAGGAAGATTATTATCTCTCTTCGGACTTCATCGGAATAAATGCCACTGGGCCTTTAGTCCAGTGATCATCCCAAGCTTCCTTAAGCTTGGTAGTGCGGGAGATCAAGGGTTCGAACCTTGCTTTCCACAAAATTTGTCACAATATGTGACGGTCTTCATTGACCAATTTCGATGGAATCTTTACTCACATCGAGTCCCCTCCCCCTCCCCCTAGAATAGGCTAGTTTAGGTTATAAGAATTCTATCGTGTCGACAAAAAAAAAAAAGGATTAATTCAAAATAGTAGTAATAGTGTTTATGGAGAATTCTAAATTGCTTGTCTTGTCACTCTGACTTTAGCAGATACTTCCTAGTCTATTGGTGATAATCACATAACATTACAATCACTACCCTACCAAGACCTATTCAACCTTGAGGATGCTACCTTGACAAAGAACCATGGGGTCCCAGTCTCAAATCTACTAGGTGTGCGTATTAGAAAATATATTTGCTTATGGTTTATAAATGATCCACCTTGATGGGTTTAATACAATCTCGTTGGTAGGTTTTTAAGTCACTAATAACAATGAACTAGAAAAATAGAGGGGTAAAAAGTTGTGCGGTGTTGGCTAAATTCACCATTAGCAAAATACACAAGTATTTCAGATGGTTTACGTCTATACTCTCAAATTAAATTAATTACTTCTATACTCTCAAATTTCAGATGGTTAGAATTTACCATTTGATTGTAGATTATTACAGTATCCTTCTCCCAAGTATTAAAAACACACCTAATTACTTCCCAAAAATTACAAATCCTCATTTATCATCCTGTCCTATTTTTAGTTACATTCTCAAATTCAACCTTCTCGGGTCCCTGATTGGCCGTCGAGATTTCCTTAGACTAACTTTTTATGTATTTGCTTCAACTTTAGCTGTTGAGTGTTTTGCAGGGTAATTGACGTAACAAGCAATGTCAAGGTCATAATTATAAAATCTAGCCCGACCCAGCAGTTGAACCAATCAACCTAGTAAGTCCATCATAGTATCGGATCAGGTCACTAATTAGATTGTTTCAACAAAAAATCCATTGACTAGTTAATGACCTGGCAATTTAACCGGTGAATTGGAAAAAAATCAATGGTTGAACCGCCAATTGAACCACTAACTTAAAATTTTTATTATTTTTATAATTTAGGATATATTATTATATTATATAATATAATTAATCTGCAACCCACAATTGAACCATCAACCCGGTGACTCGGTCATTTCTCCGAGTCGAGTTTCAGGTCGGATTTATTAATTATGGTTCAAATTTCCTTAGACTAGCTTTTTATGTATTTGCTTTAGCTTTCGCTGTTGAGTGTTTTGTAGAGTAATTGACGTAACGAGCAATGTCAAGGTAATAGTTATAAAATCTAGCCCGATCCGAAACTCGATCCAAGGAGGTGGAACATGCTGAAATTTTTATAAAAAATATCTATCTACTGTTAAGAGAAGGTATAAAATGAGTTGCTCCCTGAATCACCAACAATCCAGTGAAGAACTCCATTAAGCGTAGTTTCTCAAAATTTAGCTATTTAACAAATGTTCCCACCATTTTCTAGCTTGAGGCAATGGTACAATATTAATTTTAACATTCTCCAACTATTGTCAACCACAATTACAAATATAACCTTCGATTTTGCCCTGAATAAGTGCTATTAATTTCTATAAATTAAGTAGTAATTGTAGCACAGAAAACTAATTTGCTAACTTTGTTCTTCGCACCTTTAAAATGTAATTTGTAATTAACTAAATGCATGAAT